TATGTGTGTATATATATATAGGGATCTATGGGGGTAGATAGGAATGATCGAGAATCAACCGGACAAAATGGAAAATGAGATGGAAACTGGGTTAGATAGGGTTTATAGGGTGGATACTGGAATCCTGCAAGACCCTAAGTATCTTATACAATGGGAGTTAGGGTGCTACGGTATAAAGGTGATGCAGGACTTTTGATTTCTTATCATCAATATCTCTGTAGCTACCCTTTGAGGCATACATCGCAACCATGATGGTGACCCGTCTCCTGGAGCACTATATACCCCAAAGCCTGAACCCTGTAGGGTTCAAAAAATCCGACGCCCTCCAGCCTTAACCCACATGAGCAGGTTGCCCTCCAGTATACTGCCTTCGTATGACCTACAGTCAATACTTCCCCAGATAATCAATGGACATGGGTTCCTTATTGGGGAATCTACTAGGACCCCGATGTCCACCCTTAATGGTCCCTTGGTAAGGCTAACAAATCTCATACATGATGTCCATGATTGGGGGCCTCGTCATCTCATCAGGCCGGACGCACCTTGGGCACACACAGAGCTCCCAAATGAGCTTTAGTTTAAACTCCCTAAAGAGGAGTATATAGGGGGCTGATAACGGGGAGTTTTACAGGGATTATACAGGGATTATGCAGGATATTCGGAGTTTAGGCAATAGCTCAAATGAAGGTTCATTGACACGATCAGCGGTTTTTGGATAGGGGACTGGCTCCCCATGGGGTACTGCACATGTCACTTTTGTCTTCCTTATTGGGGGGCAAACTATGACAAGTCAGAAGTTGTATTCGACAATGACCCCGTTGAGGGGTTGACTCAGAATTCGTGCTTTGGAAACAAAGCTGCAACGAGCTAAGCAGAGGGGGCATGTGTTGTGACACAGCATGAGACAACACAATGCAAGCCGAACATGCCTTAACCGATAACCCGGGACGCCGAATCTAAAGTGCAGCTCCCACACACCTGAGCTACTGCCTAAACTCTTAGTATCCCCCTTAATAACCCTATGTAGCTATAGAATCCCCTACCTTACCCCCTTTTCAGGAGTTTAGACTATAGCTCACCCTGCTGTGGCCCCTTGCATTCACTTGACAACCTAGTACCGAAACATGGTCAACCCCCGGAAAATGGGAACCCTCCCACCCGCTGCAAATAAACCTTGATATATATATATATATGTATATATGTTTTTCCCTTTTATAACATGCAGGTGGTTGGGGTGGGTGGGGGGGAAGGATTGATATTGGGCAGGAGGGGCTTGTGATTTAGCCCGGGTCCTTAATTTCGGGAAATGCCTAACACCTAGAAACCTCCATGCAATCCTAGTCTCCAGGTCATTTTCAAGCCTCTTTTCAAACACTAACTAAACCCTTTGTACCCCTTATAGCCCTAAAACCTACGCTCTAAACCCTAAGCCCTAAACCCTTAAACCCTACGCCGCCTACTTGTTAACACCCGGAATCTTAAATAGGTCTAACAGGTCATTTCTACTATCTCCCAAGCCCGTGGCTCGAGGCCGCCTCAATTTTATACATCCGGAGAGGAACTTTCGTTTTAGGCTACAGTAGTGTCTAGTGTATGCTGTTGGAGACCACCGTATGCGGGAGGGTTAAGGTTGGAAGGCTTGAGGGCTGGAAGGCTCGAAGGCTGAAGGGCTGGAAAGCTAGAAGGCTGGAAGACAAAGGTTAAGGTGGAAGACTGGAAGCTAAGAGTTGGAAAGCTGGAAAGGGCTAGAAAGTTGAAGGGCCGGAGAGCTGAACGGTAGTAGGCTGCAAAAATAACAAGGTCTTCCAGCCTTCCAGCCCTCCAGCCCTCTAACACTCCAGCCCTCCAGACCTCCAACCCTCCAGCCCTCCAACCCTCCACCCTCCAACCCTCCAGCCTTGCAACCTTCCAGCCGACCAACCAACTTCTAAGCCTTACAGCCTGACGTCTTCCAGTTTCTATGCATTCCAGCCACACAGACATGAAAAAATCGTGCAAAACTGCAAGAAAACGAGGTTTAAGCGGTTGCGCCTTCAACACATAAGCTATTCTTCTATCTATCAGTGTGTCGAGTGAGGCAGTAAGGTTTTGCGCAATTATTTAGAACTTATTCTCTATCTGGCCAAGGAACCCTACAGTATGAAATTAGGTCTACGTAATGATTTATTGGCAAGTCCTGAACAAGCAATAATGAATATTTTCAGGAAAGCAGCAGTATTCTGAAGGTTCCAAAACCCCTGGAATGGGAAACAATCGCCGTAGGCTGGAAGATTAAGAAGGTTGGAGGGCTGGAGGGTTGGAGGGTTGGAGGGTTGGAGGTTGGAGGGTGGAGGGTTGGAGGGTTGGAGGGCTGGAGGGTGGAGGCTGGAAGTGGAGGGCTGGAGGGCTTGGAGGGTTGGAGGGTGGAGGGTTGGAGGGTTGGAGGGCTGGAGGGTTGGAGGTTGGAGGGCTGGAGGGTTGGAGGGTTGGAGGGCTGGAGGGTTGGAGGGTTGGAGGTTGGAGGAAGGGTTGGAGGGTTTGGAGGGTTGGAGGCTGGAAGTGGAGGGCTGGAGGGTTGCAGGGCTGGAGGGTGGAAGGTTGACTGGAGGGTTGGAGGGCTGCGGTTGCAGGGTTGGAGGGCTGGATCCGAGTGCTGGAGGCTGGAGCTGGACTGGAGGGTTGGAAGGTTGGAGGGCAGGAAGGTTGGAAGGCACTGCAGGGCTTGGCCCCAACTTTTAAACATCCGGATTTAAATAGAAATTTATACTACCTCCGTGGGCACCAGCCCTTGGCCGCCCTCTATATATTTAAAAGTAGGCACCATATACCCTAAACCCTAAACCTCAAACCCTGATATTTGCCAAGCTGCCAGGAGCAACCCAAGTCGTTGGTCAGATTCATCTTGACCTCCGCCTGCGCTACCTGGAAGGTTTGGGGTTTAGGGTTTTTGGGGGCTTAGTTTTTTGGGATTTAGGATTTTAAGGTTTCAGCGTCTAAAGATTTACGTGCTTAGGGTTAAGGGTTTTAGAGAATAGGGCTTTGGCGGGTTTGGGGGCTTGTCTAAGGTCCAAAGTATGGGTCTCTACTATGGAGCCCGAATCTTGGAGTCCTCATACCATATATATATATACACACATACATACATATATATATATACACATATATATATTTTATAATATATGCCTTAGGTGGACCCCCCTCCCACTCAGTAATAGGGACTATAAGGTATAACGGCATAAGCCCCGCTTATATCCCTACTATACCACAAATACATAGCGTGGGGTACACCTAATATATACCCTATACAACCCTACAGAGCCAATCACTTGAAACATTTAGGACTCAAGCAACACATAAGGGCCCATGATTAGGACCTTGCAGTTTAGGGTTCCAAGGCTTAAGGCTTTAGGGTGTAGGATTTAGGGTGTCAAATAATTAGAAGGCTAGAGAATCAAAACGAGAAGAGAACATGAAGTGGAATCTGGGCTTATGTACGGCTCTCAGCCGCGTTCACACTGCCTTGCCAGCATCACCCCACCTGAACCCCTACATATCGCTATAGACGGTTCAAAGGGGATCCGCTCCACCACGCCACGAGTACAATAATCCCTCACCCCTGGTAAACCCTAGACCTTAAACCCTAAATGTGTTATACTTTCCAACTCCCACATTAGGCCGCAGGAGTCCTAAACCCTAGATCCTACACCCCAAACCTTTAACCTCAAGCCCTAAATCCTGAACCCTAAATGGGGGTTTCCCAAAAATAGGGGTACCTTTTTGGGGATTCCCATAATAAGGACTATCGTATGTTAGAGTCTATATTGGGGTCCCCTGTTTTGGGAAACTACCAAACCATGAAGTGCGTCAAACGCACACAAAACAAGTCTTGCCTTGGCTGCTTCTGCCTCGGCTTTTGCTGCATCCTCTTCGGCTGTGTTGGTGGGGCGCTCAGCCTGCTCAATGTAAGGCTTGTAGTGAAGGGTTTAAAGGAAAATAGAATGGAAACTACGACATTATATAGGGTAATACTAGGGTTTCATGAGTTATATTGGGGTTATATGGGGATAATGGAAAAGAAAATGGAAACTACTATTTAGGGTTTAGGGTTTAGGGTTGAAGGTCTATAGTCCTCCTTCAGTAGATAGAATATGGGGTATATGGGCATCTTATTATAATATACCCAAGGCCATATTCTATCTGCTTAAGGGAGACTACAAGGTTTCAGGGTTTAAGGTTTGGAGGTGTTAGGGCTTAGCGTTTTGAGGTTTTAGTGTTTAGGGTTTGAGGCTTAGGGTGTTAGGGCCTAGAGTTATGGGGTTCAGGTTTTTGGGGCTTAGGATGTAATGTTTCGGGTCTTAGGGCAGAATTTTCTTTGCACCGCTTCCTGTACCCGTCTCAAGCAGTTAAAGGCCCTGTTTGGCGTTTAGGGTTTCGGGGGCTACCTGACTACTAGAATTATGCGAGCCATTGTTTAAACTCCTGGCCTCCCCCGCAATAACCTTTCAGGAGTTCAGACTACAGCTCGCATAAGGCTTATTGGGGAATAATGTTGATAAGTCTTACGTCTTAAGCCCTCACCTATTAAGCCGCTCTGAGAGGCCACTAGTTGAGTGCTGTCGCTGAACACGAAGAATTTGCTGGCGCCGAGGGCCGCGTTGAACATATAGAAATCCCCTTTGCAGGGTTTAGGCTTTAGGGGCTTTCAAAATCTAGCGCATGATGGGATTTCAAGATCCTATAGAGATCTAGGGGATGTTGGAGAAACTCCTGAATGAAGTTTCAATTGCGGCTACCAGCAGGAACCTCAGGAGAAAAAAACACCCATCCTGCCTTCCAACACTGTGCCAGGCATACAGTTGGTGGACAAAAATCTTGAATGCGTGGGCCCTGCCCCCACCCATTAACAGTCTATCTATAGCAGGGGTTATATTCAGGGCTCCATATAAACGTTATACGTATTATCCAGCTGTTAATGAGTGGGGGCAGTACCCAAACCATACCTAGTCTTTAGGTCCGCAGAGTCAGGCAGGATTGGATCCATCAACCGCACTACCACCAGAAGTCGCCACCAGGGACTTCAGATCCTCCGCGCTCTCTAGGCTCGGACTTTCAGGTCCATGGGTCACCACAACCCACTCATACTTTTCGTACCTGAAATATGAACTTGTTAGGGGACACAAGGGTGACATCAATACAATTCTTGTATGCTATACCAATTTTCCTACTAGACTCTCAATCCCCTCATATATCCCAATGCACCCTCAATTCCCCTTCCATTTTGCATGCGCTCTTCCATTTGGTTTACTTTATCCTTGAACCCTAAACTTGTCCCAAATCCTGAACGGCTGCCTTAATCCTAAACTCTTCAACACTAAACCCTAAACCCTACAACCCTGCCTTAATTATACGGTAGCTACCCCCCAATATAGACCCCCCCAAATACGACAATCCTTGATATAGGGAACCCCAAATTGGTACCCCAAATATGGGGAGATCCCGATATGCGAGCTGCAGTCAATATCTTCCCCATATACGTAATGGACATGGGTTCCTTATTAGGGAAGATGCTAGGGACTATATCAAACTGTAAGAAGGACTACCATGTCCACCTTCAGCGGTCCCTTGGTAACCCTAAACCCTATCCTAAACCCTAAATCCTCAGCTTTAAGCCTTCAACCCTAAATCCCGAAGTCCCAAACCTTAAGCCCTAAACCCTAACTCCTAAATCCTAAAACCCTAAACCCTAATCCCTATAATCCCCTATAGAATCCCAGTTTCCATTTCATTTTCCATTTTCTTTTCCATTTGATTCTCCATTATAGTAGGTACCCCCTAATTTGGGAAATCCCCTAATTCAAAGTAGCTCATGTAGTCATGAACCTCCAGTTTGCGCTCATTCGCATGCCCGCCTGCCTCTGCAATACTGAGGGTTCCATCGGGCTTGCACCTGGCTCAGGGTGGCACTGTAGGGCCTGCGGTTTAGGGTTTAGGCCTTGGGGTTTAGGGTTGAGTATTTTGTTTGGCTTTTGTTTTCTTAAGCGCCCTTTTCTGCTTGGGGTTTGGGGTGGTGTTCAGGTTGATGGTTTAGGGCTTGGGGTTTAGGGTTTAGGGGTTTAAGGTGTCCTGTGGCAACTTTAGAGCTCCTACACTACTGTGATTTCCAGTGTTTACGGAGCTTAGAGTGGTGCAGGACTTCTCTTATTAACAGTACAATAGTACGTAGGGTTTGGGCTGAGGGTAGGTAATGGAGAAATGAACAGAACTTGGAAACTACTACCGCATTTCGGATTGAGGGTTCGAAGGGCCAGTTTGTCAGCCGGTGTCGCAAACATCTGTCAGGCCGCAGTCCATGCAGCGTTTGACAAGCTCGTTGCTGGCATTGGCTCGTTCCAACTGGCTTCCGCTGCTAGAGGGCTCGGAGTAAGTGCGGTAAGGCTTCGGGGAAAATTATACTACAGATTACTACAGTTGAACACTATTGGTGAATGTTCAAGTTCATACATTACTCAGTGCTGACTGCTGCGATCGTGAGGTTTCATGGCAGCTGTTCAGGATCTTTGGCGTGAAAGCCATCAAAGCCTGAAATCCTTCGAGCTAGTCTGCCACCCAGTACTAGTGGCTCCAAGGAATACGAGCGATTCTATATTTACATTGAGGTTTTCTTATATGCCGCTTATACCACTATTACAAGGTGGAGGGTCCACCTAAATTCTACACCGGAAGCCCTAGTTTGCAGAGCACCCAAAGTGATTTCCGAAACACCACACACAGAAAAACAATGGAAAATAACAAGTATCCCAAATTGTTACCTAGCTAAGTTCTCCTACCTTCACCTCAAAAAGTAAGGTAAACCAGCCAAAAGCCATTATTCCACAAATTCTGGATCCAGATAAAGACTAAGTTCTCTAACACGGCTTCAGGCCTTACTTCAACCCACTTGTCCGCAAAGTCGGCCGCGAGCTTCTCCGAGATTTTGGGATCAAAGCCTCGGGGATCAGCGACCCTTAGGTTCTTGGGCTTAGGGTCCAGACACCCATATATACTCACCGAAGCGAGGATAAACAAACACTTCATCAAGAGCTAGCTTCCTGAAGAAGTTGCCGGGTTTGGCTCAAAATAGGACGCTAGACTTTGCCGGTAGGACTAGCATGTTTTGAAGCAGTTGACTCTCTTTGAAGCAGCTTCGCACAGCTGAGGTGGTGCCAGAACCGCTCACAGTTCACACAGCTTAGTTAAATACTCGATTCCCAGGAAGCCCGATATGCCTCACTGAAGGAATATACCTGGAGTCATTTTCGCGATCCCAATATGATTCTTAAAGGTATGTTCCTGCATTAAGGTATCTTGGGATCTTTGGGTTCACTTTCCTATGCATTAGCGTCGAAGGGCCAGAATATCATACCGCGTATGGGAAATTCAAGTTGGCCTCCCCCAAAATGGTCCGAAAACCTTAACGCCGCCGGTGAAACCTAACCCCCCCCCCAACCACCCCTCCGATCCATAGAACCATGAGCCCAAACCTACCATTACAATGGTTTCCATTCTTTTGCATTATCCCTATATAACCCTAATATATATATATATGTAGATATACACCCAAAAGAATGCCTTATCCCTATATAACCCTAATATATATATATATATGTAGATACTACAGAAAAAGAATGCCAAGTTAGACCAAACTGCAGGTTGCCAATAGAACTCCGAAGTTCCTCGCCCGTACGGCGCAGTGCGACAGGATGTCTGGCGCTTCCTGACCAACAGAGCCATAGTCTAAACTCCTTGTATGCCCTATAGTATAGGGTTTAAGGTTTAGAACAGAGCCGTAGTCTAAACTCCTTGTATCCCCTAGAGTATAGGGTTTAAGGTTTAGGGTCTAAACTCCTAGTACCCCCCCTTAATCACGCCTACAGTAGTCCCGTATAATCCCCTATAGAACATCTACTGATGCGTTGGCGTCTAGGCTATAGACCAACTGAAGATGCGGATTTCATGGGAAACTATGCTGGTATTTGAATTTATGGTTCGCCCAAGTGGTCACCAAATATGTACACTCACCAACGATCCCAAGGAAGCCTATATACACTCACCGAAAACCATAAGGCACCCCCTACTTCAACAACTTTGAGGGATCCTAGTGTTTGCCAAGGTTTGGAGAAGGATTGCTCCGCAGGGGTACTAAGGAATCACCATGGAGTTTGGCATTGGTTTAGGGTTGGGAGTTTTTTTTATGTTAATGTAGTACTGGAATCTATCTCGAAGGTGCTTCAAAGTAAATTCAGCTGGAACATCCTAGATAACCACGTGCGAGAAGAACAGGATCATGCCGGCAAGTTATCACTGCTTCAACCGGGGCTTGAGGGAACTGACTAATACATCCCAGCATCATTCAAACTAGTATCAACACTCCGCACGTGAAGTCGATTGCGCCCTACAGTAGCAATTCTACAGCGTGACAGCGATGGTACCTCCCAGAGAATCCCGTGCACTAACCACTGGGTGGCAACTTGCTGCGCAGTGCCTTCGCGCTCCGCACGAGGACGCCCAAAACTCCATCTGGCACCTGTTCGTTGAAGAGTCAAGCTGAATGGAGTGGGCAGCCAGGTCATCTTCAGCGCTGTAACCCGATGACATAATTTCATAACAAGGCAAACTCCATAGTGCTTGCGTGAAGGACAGTTGTGCTTGCTGAAGTTTCGACATCTGGCGATGAGGTGGGGAACCCTGTTTTCGTTGGCAAGCTTCCACTTGACTCCTAGATCGGAAACAAGAGAACTAAACACCAATTAAAATGATGAGTTGCAATGATAATAGCAATAGTAGTAATAGTAACAGTAAAAGTAATAACACTAGTAATGATAGTAGCAATTAATAGTAATGGTGCCTGCCTCCTCCTCTCCACTCACTGCTCCACTCAGAAGGATGGTAGGTGTGTGGAAGACCTCACCCTGAACTCCCATCATCTTGTCGATGAGCTTGAAGACGCCCTGCAAAATGGAGGGATTAGGTGGACCCCCCATTGGGTTTAGAGTTTAGGGTTTAGGGTTTAGTGACTATTATGGATAAGGATTATATTAGGGTCCTCTTATATTCCTACTATACCACTATTACAGGGTGGGGGATCCTCCTAGCGGAGGGATGATGTCGAGCGCGGGTTGAGCAGAAAGGCACACAAAACTGCTTTGATAAGCTGGGGTGGTACTGCAGGTGTGAGGGTAACATGTCCTACCCTCAAAAACTTGGCATTGACCGCCCTGCAGAACCGCGAAACTCAGAGGGCACCCCACCCCTGACTCGAAACGCTCTTGTTCAAGGTATGCATGCTGTATATGAGTATACTATAGTATATTAGAACTTACTGTTATATATACTGGTATGTTGTAATAAACTGTAGCGCAGCGCCTGGATTGGCTTGTCAATGGGCGAGATCATCTGCCAGGGTGGCCTATGAATCAAGGCGCTCATGCGCTACGACGCCCTAAACCCTAAATCCTAAAACCCAAGCAGTTTGCACCCAGCAGCAAGTGCGCAATGTCCCGCAGCACCGGCTCCGTCCGCTGCAAAATCAAGCTCACAGCCTCACGATGGATCCAAATAGCCCGATGTAGGTAAGGGTTTAGGGTTAAGGGTTAACGGTTTAGGGTTGGGATCCATGTTGTGCGACAGGGCCCCGCCAGGCCGACGAGGGTCCGGGCTACCCCGGCGCCCTCTGTTACTCTTCACATGTAGATCCTGTCCGCAACCCCGTCTAAAGTCCTAGTATCCCCCCTCATACCCTCTATAGTAGTTCCCTACATAATCCCTTATAATGCCCTTCTTTAAGAGGTTTAGATTATGGCTCACATACAGAATGAGAAGCTATAACTTAGACCCTAATAACTAATACAGGCTGAGTCTGGGACCATGAGCGATGTTCCACGCAGAACCTGCAATCACACAGACTGCAAATGAGTAGTGTCTTTTTGGTGGTTGAAACTAGTAAGATCATATTCCTTATATAAAATACTATACACCAAAAGGAGGGAATAATCTTACTCTATATTGGGTACCATAGTACCCCCAAATAAGATACTACTCAAAT